TCTCTAAGTCCTACCAATTTGACCAAGTTACGAAAACAAGGTCAGACAACTTCAATAAGTAATGTAGTTGAGTTTTGTAGCAAATATAACTCTGCTTCTTTGAGAATCTCACCAAGGAATGTGATATTTGAAAATGCCTAAATTTACTTGAAATTCAGCCACCAGTCACGGTATTACCTCAGACAAGATAGTATGAATATATCTCATTAGTTTCAAGTGTCATAGATTAAAAATGTTAGATTTACACTAGGCATACTTTCAAATAATCTTTTCATTATTACACACCATAACCAAAAATTAACACAATTCGTTCTGATATTTAGCAGTTAAAGGTAAATACTACCTCAAAATAATGTGGTAATTGAATTACTCAATTAATAATCATATTGTTACTATTTTTTATAATCTCCTATTTAATGGAAACATAAAGATATGGCTGAGAAGGCATACTTCTAAAAATCCGCAAGCTCAAATTGGTATACAACAAATACTTAATTTAATGTAAGTTCTTTGAAGAATACAAAACGCGATCACGTTCTAAACAGCAATATTAATTTACTCAAGAAATTTTTTTTTTATTTTAGGCCCGAAAATAGGATTTCTTGCGATAAAATGGTTAAGTAATATAGTTATATATAATCGCATGCAGATTATTGTGTAGCAAATATTTGGCTTAAATATATTACTCAATTCAAAGATTTAACTTAATGTCAGTTTTAATAACTATCCTTTATTCGAGCAAATTTACATTCGAATCAATGGTAAAAAGATAAGAAACAATTTTTACCAATTCAAGTAATTCTTACTTCGCATATAGCTGTGGCGGAATTCAATATTTCCTCTGGAACATGATACTGATGAGGAATATCTCCGAGAGATGAGTTTGAAGCAGAAGAACATGGCTTGGATATATGTGCAAAATATGATGAAGCAGTCTGCTTGTTTGCAGCAAAAAGAATAACGCGCAAATCAGCGAATAATTCAGGTCCCTGTCTTTCCCTTACCGTTCCCCGGAGAAAATGGCCCTAGATATTAGAAATTCAAAAATAAAAGTAATTCGTACATGTAAAATTATTGGGTCCCTGAGAACAAAATTTGTAGAAGAAACTTCAACTTCACTAATTGCTCTAGTTGTTTTGTGAATATCTTCGGAGCTGTCACCAACAAGAATCGTATAATGACCGCTTGGAACAGGCGTAAGCAGGAATAACCCTTTGGATTTGGTCTGGGTTTTTATATTAAGGCCAGGAGGCTCAGTGTTTATCAACGTGACGAATAAACCAGCAGGTCCAGTTTCTAGACCAGCAGTTACAACCTAAATTTCAATGTAGAAAAAAAACGAACTTGTCCAGTCACAGAAAATCCTATCAAGCGAAAATCATAATTTTCCACACAAGAGCTCTGAAACGATCTAATATCAATCACATGGCCTTCAGATGGATGAAAGATCCAGCCGCTTGGAGCATACAAACGAATGCGGTATTGGCCAGCATCGTAAACGGGAACGGAGTATGCCCCATTAGGCAACACCTCAGCTACTTCTTTAATTATGTCGTGCTTATCTATCTGTAACTCAATCTTGAGTTCTTCATAAGTTAATTGAGAGTCCACTGTGTTTCCTAAGTTAATAAAACCCCCACATGCAATAACATTGTCCAGTTCTTGGCCTCCAGCGTTATGAAATGCAATACAAGCGACAATATAAAGATTAAATGCAATTAGTGACATTGCCAGTAGGCGGATAAGAAGCGGTGCCTAAAATAATGCGCCAATAAAAAAAGTTAACCTAAAAAATATAACAATTGTGATCTAATTTAAAAATTTATCGTAATTTTATTTATTATGGCAAAAGTAGTATATTATAATATACATATAAACTAACTGAGTGAAACTATTAAATAATTATTATGGGAATAATTATATAGAAATTATTTCTTTGAACAAATTTCAGGTCAAAAAGTAATTTGACTTTTTATTTTGTAAATAGGGTTTCAGGACTACCAGTAAATGAGATATATGATATGTGCTCACACTATTTTGTTTAAGGTGATAATTGGCTTGTTGCTGAATTTTTCCACAGTGAGTAGACCTTATTCTTTGACCTGATTTCACATATCCTTTTTTCTAAAAAGGTATTCTCATCCAGGCTATAGTGCATTTTCGATATCACCTAGGTTTTATCATCCCCTCTAGCGGGACTCGAACCATGAGAGTAACTAATATAATCTCTACACGTAAACCATTACGCCAAATTGTCATAAGTACCCTTGGATCACAGGGCAGATGTGCATTTTAGTGAAGCCTATGCATTTTCTCAAATCACAGTCTATTGCGGGTTTGTCGAGGAGGCAAAGTTATATTTGCAATAACAATCGACTAATTTACTTATTTTTTTGATAGGGTTTCTTGAACGCATCTCATATATCTGCTTTGATGGCAGTCTCAAAACCATACTTACAAACAAAAAAGGTTAAACTCGTCCAATTTTATAGTAAATAAAACTTTGCTTTACCTACAATACCATAACAGAATGTAATATGGAAAAATGCCTGGCCTTCCCTGAAATTCACATCTGCTCTTTAACCCAAATGTACTCGTAGAAATAAAGTCTGTAGTTAAAGTACCAAGACTATACACTGCAATGTTATGGTTCAAGTCTCGCTGCGGGTGAATAGAATACCAAGACGAGGTCAAATCTGCAGTCCACACAGTATAGGAATACCCCTTGGGAAGCAAGGCTATTATAAGTTCAATGGAGCGTAAGATTTACACATATAGTTCTCAAAAATTCAACCATCTAAATAAAAGCATTGGGAATTAAGCTATAATGCTACATCATACTACACAATTTAAGAATATATATTCAGATATTAGTTTTTACCTATTGTAAATTGAAAGGCAGATTAACAATTATGGCATATATTTCTCAATTTTAAATTAGGTGGCCATAATAAATGAAGATTATTTCGTTGGCGATTTTGTTACGTAAATAGTCATTTTTATGATTCTATATGAAGTAGTACGCGGATAGTTTTCTTTTTCGAGAAATTCATTTACACTATTTAGTCCTTCATCATTTCGTACTTTTATTATGTTAAAATATATTATGAAGACCAAGATGGTGTGGCCTTTTGTGTGGTCGCAGTCCCCTTTCGTTATATAGAAGCTGTTTGACCTTGTTTTCGCAACATCGTAATATTGGTAGGAAGACTTAGAGAAACGCACATAGTCCGGAGTCCATTGTATGCATCATCATTTCGAGAGTGGGACAGTGGACGTGGTACATTCCCAGACGTTTCGCCGGCATCGTAGTAGGCGTCTTCAATAAGTATCGTCATTAGTAGCACCATAGTAAAACTCGTCAAAAAGACAAGTGAAGCTCATCCTTTGATTAAACGTGTGCTAAACAGTTGTGGTATCTCCCCTTCCGCACTGGGTTATTCACATTTCCTATATCCTCCTACCATGCCTTCTCTGTCACAATTTTTACCGTGCTTATTTTTAATGTAGTGTTATATGCTTTTTCGAGCGGCATTCATGAAAACCCTTCACCTTTACACTGTCGTTATCACCCCTTTCACCCTTGTGCTCAGAATGTTAACCAGATTATGTCATATAATTGGGTAGTTCTTCCCTGGATCCTATCAAATTTTCCCTCTTGACCCGTAGAATCCGTCTACTATCTCCCTCGTACATCATTTTACTCGACCTCTGCCCCCCCTCTGTTCTACTCGAGGCCTAATTCGTCCATCATCTGCTTTTAGTGATTGATTAGAGGCTAGAGCCTCAGAGTGAGTCTCATGATTATGACTTTACTACATGGATAACGTCTCTTGTAAAACACACTATCAGCCAACTAGCTCCAATCGCCACCTCGTCTATCCTATCTCTATCCTTAATACTAAGTCTATGACTTGCCATGCCCTAGTCGCTTGTGTGCCAACAGATTGGAGTTAGTTGGCTGACAGTAGGTTTTACAAGAGACGTCGTCTATGTAGCAAACGCATGACCATGAGACTTAGTGTGGGGTTTTAGCCTCTAACTAATCGGCCAGGTGCAAGGGATGGACGAATTACGCCTCAAATAGCACAGATGGTGGGGCACAGCTCGAGTGAAATACATGTACCAGGGAGATAGCAGACGGATTCGACGGGAAAAGAGGGAGACTCTGAAAGGACATAAGGAAGGACTACGTAACAATATGACAGACTATGATCAATATTTCCAGCACAAGGGTAAAGGGGGTGATAACGACAGTGTAGTGTGAAGGGTTTTCACGAATTCCGCTCGAAGGAGCCCACCACACTACATTATAAATAAGCACGGTAAAAATTGTGACAGTGAAGGCGTAATACGAGGATATAGGAAATGTGAAAAGGCCAGGACA